CGTAGTGTCCGTGACGTCACCCATAGGATTCTGCAGAGTTGCCGAGAAGCCCTTAGTAGGCGGAGTCGGCCACTAACGGCTTGACAGCGACGTGAGAGTCTAATCCCGCCTGCTCCAAATAAGGGCAAAGAGGCGGAGCCGAGGCGGGACCTGCTGCCTCCGAACTGGAAGTAAACAGAGCTAGCTCAGGCTAAAAAGCTAAGCTAACATGAAATACATGTACAAGTACAGTAACTACAACTAACTAACGTTGTAGCCTCTATGGCTGTAGCCTAGCAGAGTGGACAAGTTGCTGTTAGCTGACAGTGAGGCATGTACATGTCCATCAAAGTGACCACGCCCTAATTTATGCAAAAGCTTTAAGGCTTAATATTAATTAAACAGATGAGTTGAGAAAAAATTCACCCCCCCCAATCCATATTCATGAAGGGGGGATATAACTATACAAAGAATATGGTTTTTTGAACCACGATGTAAACGATTTAATTCTGCTCTAAAATTGGGCATTTTAACATTGGGGTCTATGGAAATTGCTCCCTTCTGCAGACTGCTCCTACTGGCCACTAGATGAACTGCAGTTTGAGGCACTTCCGCATTGGCGTCCCGGCTCTTCCCCAGAGTTTGCCGCTTGATGTAAACGCACGATGGCGCACACAGCAGCAAGCTCAGACAGCGATGACAGTCTAAGCTATCCTAAAAAAGCCAGTAAATGTTTTTGTTTTTTTAAAGACTACATTTACATAGTCAAAAGGTATTTTTGTTCAGCCTCACAATGCTATTGGGTATTACATGTGTTAGGTCCTGCCCTCTGGCCATACACTCACACAACTTCAGAATCTTCAAACGAGCAACATCTCTTTGTTTTAATGGACTGGATTTGTTATGGAGCTATTTCAGGGTCATAAGTTTTGATCATTCAAAAAAATACAATTTATTTGAATGTCCAAGTTTTCATCCTGAAGTTTGAAAAATACAATGTTGTATTCAAAACAAAAGAAAAGTATTTGAGATACGTTCATAACGAACGTAACGTGGGAGAAAATATGTTTCTAGGTAAACGTAATTGAGAATGCAGTTTAGTTCTGTGGGAACGTAATTTTTAGGAGATATGGTTGTCTTAATGATCCGCTTGGTTAGACAGTATTTCCTTTAATGTGCCAACACTGGTTGATAGAACACCCAACATTTTACTTTGAAAAGCCACAACTAGTGTTTATGTACTATATGTCAAACTAAAGGTTTTTTTTGTGTGTAATGTATGAAGTGTGTTGCTCCTACGGACAAACCCACAGAGGGTGTATTTTAGCTTTAATTTATTTCCTGGGCCAGAGCAGATACAAAGTTATTTAAAAAAAGAAAGCTTCCCTGCATCTGTTCAGAACCAACAGACTGAATATCATTGAGAAGAAAATGACATCCAAATAATGCTAATGCTGCTCTGTAATCATTTAGCTATAAGTGGACATGTATGCATACAAACCAGCTTTTTAAATGTACACATTTCAGTAATATTGTTTTAGGAGGTCTATTCCAGACTTTTTTTGGTGCATTTTTATAACTATAGGAATAATGAAATTGTATTTAATGGTGTTAACATTACCTAGCATCTTCCTTACTTACTGGTGATTTGACTGAGCATCAGTAGTGAAAGATAGATACATGCTGCCATTTGGTCTGCAAACCTCTTTAAAAACATTTGTGTTTTTTTTACTGATAAAGATGTGATTAAAAGTTGAACTTTCTGTATTTCACTTTCACTTCTATTTGTATTACTTTTTACAAAGCAGTTCACGGCTCTGTTAGAAAAGCTCGTATTGTATCTCAGGCCTCATACAACCTCTCTAAACTTTTCTTAAAGGTGACCTATCATGCAAAATGCACTTGTGTACGTCTTTGATACATGAATATGTGTCCCCGGTGTTCCAGGGAACTCACCAAGTGTCAGAAAACACAACCCTCTCTATTTTCCTCCATACCCAAATCTCTTAAAAAGGGGCTGCAGCGGATCTGATACAGACTGATCCAGATTTGAACACTTCTATGACGTCACAGAAGTGGCGCTACGGCTATTGGGCCCACTCCACCAATCAGGAGGAGACAGCCACGGACATTGCCGTTCGAAAGTGCTGAAGACGCTGTAGTACATATGCCAGGCCTGTAGATGGTGCTGAACTCACAGAATCAGCCCATGCAAAGACAGTGTTAAATTGAGCGTAATGAGGAATGGCTAAAATGCATGATCTTCTTGGTATTTTGAAAAATAAAAAGTATAAATATGCCTTATATAGGTATGGTCCTACACTATATTATTCAAATATAGCATGATAGGTCCACTTTAAGCTAGCTAACTAGTTGTGCACTGACAGGTTAAAGGAATTTCGTCTGTGTTTAAATGTTTTTATACACTTCAACAAATGAAGGACCGCTGTTAAGAAAATTCTGTGTCCGTTGCTTGAAATGCAATTGACAAAGAGTGACATTACCTTAAAATAGTTGGGTATAACTCTGTAGTGTACACATAGACTATGTTGCAACAGGCGGTAGCAGCAAAAGCTCCAATAACTGCTATCG